TTTAGGGTTTAGGGTTTTACGCTTTAGGGTTTTAGGGTTTAGGGACTTATGCAACACGCGGGCGGACCATCCAAGCGAGAAGCACGCCAGAATGCTTTGCAAGTTCAAGCATTGCAATGTTGGAACGCTGCTCTTGTCAACTTCGTATAACATTTCCAGACTGCAACAGGACTACGCCATGGAACAGGGCATGCCGCGCCTGTATTTTTGCACATATCATCGCCCGCATGATATCGGGGTAATCCGCACCACCAGATGGGTTTTAGGGCTTTAAGGTCTAGGGGTGTGCGTCTACATGGGTTTACTATTAGGTATGTTTGGGCTTAAAACTTAGAGCTTGTGGTCTTGAACGGCGGAGAGTTTCGGGCGTAAACCTGTTGCCACAAAACCCATTCAGCTTCAACCCTACCTAGACCCCAAAGAACCTACATTTCTAAGGACCCATATAAGGAAATCATAATAAGGAGCCCTAAAAAGGGAAGTTCTTAAGGGTCCAGGTAAACCCTAAACTCTGAACCTAGAAACATAAAACAACAAGTAAAGCATATAACGTCAACCTGCAACTCTCTGTACCTACAGTTTGTCAGCCATTGCCTCTGAATTCGTAGGTAGAACCCCTAAACCCTAAACCCTAAACCCTAAATGGTAATTCCGGTCCCAGGAGGCCTCTCCTGAACGACATCGGTCGGACCAAGCGTGTTGAAGGGCCAATGCCGGGTGGTGAACCCAGGGACTCCAATACCCCTTAACTATGGAATATACCTTGAATCTTATTATCCTACTATAGTTTAAGGTATATTCCTTAATTAAGGGGTATTGGAGTCTCTGGGAAGATTATGAGCTCCGACATACTCAGACTCGGTCGTCAGAAAAGTCATGGGGAGATGAACCCAAAAAACTGAACCCAAAACCCCTTAGTACTAAACTGTGGGCAGCTTGTCAGGCTGTTCAGAGAAGGAGATGGTTCGGATGTGTTTGCAAGAGGTGTTGATTCACGGTTCATGGCCCAGGGATGATTCAGGGTTTAGGAATGTATTGTAGGGGCCTTGGCTATATCATGTTGGGGGCTCCTTATTATAATTATAGCATCATGTACCCCAAAACCCTATTCTAATTATTCAGGCCCCTATGGTAAAAATGTAGAAGCTTGCTGTCCTGCTTGGATTTATGCCTGCAAGGGCAGGAGCATTGCAAAGAAAGATGAGCGTCAAAAGCCGGCGACACAGGAATCCGCAAGGAGGCAGCAACGGTCCAAAATGGTCCAAAACTCACGAAAAATTAAATTCATGGTGATCTTGGCTGCTGAGCCGCATGTCGAAATCGAAATACAGCGATGCTCATCAACAAGAAGCTTTAGAGGTAACGGTTTAGGGGCAAAGGGCTAGGATTTGGGAATCAGCGTTTAGAGCCTAAGGGTTGGAGTGGAGCAGCCAAGGCAAGAGGTAGCGAAACACATTAAAAAATCATAGTGTGAACTTTATTGAAATAGGTTATATACATTATGTACTGCATACTACAATATGTATATATATGCTCATATATATATATATATATACACATCTATATATGTACCAATATTTGTATACATATACATATGTGTGCATATCTATATAGAATATACATATATATATATATACAGAGAGAGAGAGAGTATCTGTGTAGTAAAAACATATGTATGTACATGTAGTCGCACACTTTATACGTATATGTGAGTTATGAAATGCGCCTCCCATTCCCGCAGGCGCACTGTCGAAGCCGCCCATGCCGCCCATACCACCTGCTGGCACTTCGGCTGATGCGGACTTTACCGCTCCAACCCAAAATGGTTTAGAGATTTAGGGCTCGCCTACACCGTAAACCCTGAAAAAGGCAGCCTGGAAGGATAGCATTTGTGTGTCTTTGGTCTCAGATGCTATTGATCTGCTCGAACTTCTTAAACCTGAAACCCTAAACAGCATGTCTGAATTGTTCATCTATATTGTACTTTAGCTCACGTCCAGTCTTTGCTATCACCACGGCAACCACAACAGCAGCAGCAGCTGCTGCTGCTACTCAACTTGCTGCTGCTGCTGCTGTTGCTACTACTAATCATTGCTACTGCTACAACAACTACTACTACTACTACTACTACTACTACTACTACTACTAGCACCACTACCACTACCGCTAGCACTAGCCCTACCACTACCACTACCACTACTGCTGCTGCTGCTGCTGCTGCTGCTGCTGCTGCTGCTGCTGCTGCTGCTGTTGCTGCTACTACTGCTACTTCTGCTACTACTAGTAAGACTAACACCACCACCACCACCACCATCACCAGCACCGCCACGACTACTGCGGCTACTAATGGACGACAGAGCATACGTCAGCACAACTACTGCAAATGATAATAAAAAAAACCGGGACCACAAGTTTCCGATGATATTTCTCAACATCACCATTAACATCGCGGCCCCCACTTCGGGCTAAGACTATGCTGAAAAGTCAGTGGGCAAACAGACCGGCTGAGCCGCTGCGCGAGGGTAAAGTCAGTGATCTGACATGACGATAGATTCTTTTTAAGAAAGCGCTCGCAGTGTAGTGGTCCTTCTCCTCTTGATCATCATTCTGATCCAGTATCTCTACCTCATGCTACCGTGCTGCATTTCTTTATCAACCTTTCCTGATTGCGGATATGTCTGCCACAACCTTGTACTTCTCCTCCTGCAAGCCGTCCATTGCCCTCAGTGAGCCTTTCGACGTAGCGCCCTCAACATGCACAGAAGGTCTTCTCATGAAACCTCAAAGCAACACAGACTACACAGACTACGGATACATCCGTTTTGTTCCATAGCAGGACTGCTTGCAGGGCCCCGTCTTCTACCAGACTGCTCTCGTAGAATGGGTGCCAGAATGGAGCCCTAATTTTTCATACACCCCGAGTCGAACAATCCTAAACCCTCACCCGAACAAACAAAACATTACACCCCAAATCCTAAACCCTAAACCCCAAACCCTAAACCCTAAAACCCGACACCCCGCAGGGTCCCGACCGGGCGCGGTATCGAAGAAACCTGCCACGTGCGCGCTCCCAAGGCCCCGGACCCCTTTGAGATTTAGGGTTTAGGCTTTAGGGTTCAGGGTTCAGGGTTCAGGGTTTAGGGTTTAGGGTTTAGGGTTTGGGGTTTAGGGTTTAGGGTTTGGGGTTTAGGGCTTTAGGGGGACAGAGTTGGTTTTAGCGTTTACCTGGGCCCCAAGAAGCCGACATGTTTAGGGTTCCTCAGAATAATTTCCTGCTATACGTCCTTAAAAAGGTAGGCTCTTTGGGGTTTAGGGTTTAGGGTTTAGGGTTTAGGGTTTAGGGTTTAGGGTCGAGGTAGGATTTAGGGCCAATTTAGGGTTCACAGGGCCCAGGTTTTGATCTAACTGAGTTCAGGAGATAAGGTTTAGGGATATTATAGAGAACCCTAAGCCCTAAACCCTAAACCCATACCCCAACCCCTGAAGCCTTTGAGCCCCGAAATCTTGTGTAGCGGGTTCCTGGGTTCTTGGTGTCTTACAGTACGTAGGGTTTCAGGAACAGGAACCCTGGAATCGCAGCAACAAACAAAACACCAAAAAAGATGGCACCAAAAACCGAAAAGAAAACACACAACCCTGAATACATGAACTTCAAAAGCTGTACAACCTGCAACCTCCGGAAACGCAGAACGCACAAACAAGCAAAAATCTACAGGAATGTCTGAAAAACCAGCCGCTACACTAAAACCCTAATTACGCAACCGCCACGTCGTAAAACATAACACGAATTGACACACTATAGCAGCCCTAGCCCTAGTAGACCCCGCTTTACCCTTTGAAGGAGCCCTTAACTAAAAGCAGCAAGTCACCAAAACCCGTTCAACACCATGAAAACCTTAAACCCTAAACCCTCAACCCCTAAACCCTGAAAACCTTAAAGACCCACAGACCTTTCCAGAAACCCTTGCAAACAGCCCCAAAAACCCTAAACCCTAAACCCTAAACCCTAACCATAAACCCTAACCATAAACCCCAAAACCCTAAACCCTAAACCCTAAACCCGGCACCTGATGTGGGGAAGTCCGGGAAGTCAGCTGCAGGGCTGACATCGGATTTGGAGCTCTTGGCCGGGGACTTGTCCTGCTACTGGTTTAGGGTTTAGGGTTTAGGGTTTAGGGTTTAGGGTTTAGGGTTTAGGGTTTACATGGGACTTAGTAACTAGGGTTCCTTAAAGGGGTCCTTAAAGGGATCTATGAGGGTTCTATAAGGGCTATAGACTCATTGGTTTACTTGAGATAAAGGCTTACGAAAGTAGGGGGCTCTATATTCTGTTACTTGGAGGATCATGGGACTTAGTAAGTAAGGTTATAACTACCTTAATTGGGGATATAATTACTTACAAGTATAGTTACCTTATTTATAACCCCAGTTACTAAGTCCCATGATCCTCCAAGTAGGGTTCTCTAGAGCCCTATAAGTTTTGGGCTTGGGCTTTAAATTTCGGGAACCCTAAACCCTAAACCCTAAACCCTAAACCCTAGACCCCAAACCCTAAACCCTAAACCCTGAACCCTACACCCGGAACCCTGAACCCTGAACCCTAAACCCTGAACCCTACCACGATACGTCGGCAAAGCCGTAGCCCACTATCGTCCACCCTGAGAGCCCCTCGCGCGTTGATCGACCACAGAGCAGGACAAGTCTTTTTCTAAATTCTTTAGGCTTTAGGCTTTAGCGTTTAGGGTTAAGGGATCCGAAATCACAAGTCACATCCGCACGACAAGGCCCACATCTTCGTAGAGAGTACGGGCCAAGGCCGCAACATGGGAGCTCACATTTTCAGGGCGTTCCGGTGGTGCAACAAGCAGCTGAGGATCTAGGGTCTTGAATCGTTGGGGTTTGGGGTTTAGGGTTTGGGGTTAAGGGTTTAAGGTTAAGGGTTAAGGGTTTGGGGTTTAGGAAGTTTAGGGTTTAGGGTTTAGCGTTTAGGGTTTAGGGTTTCCCTTTTCCCGACGTGACTTGGTCAGCACGTGCAGCTCAGATTTGCGGCGCCTGCTCCTTGCATTCCACAAGTCATGTACATGCTCCTCTCCACAAATCCGAAATGTGAGGAGGAATGCATGGTTTAAGCTTCTGGCTTGTTTTCAAGTCTGCCGGCCCCTTTTTTTCAAGTCTGCCGGCCCCAACCGCAAAGGGATAAAAACTCAACAACACTCTACACAAAGACACACACCAGGCCCTGAACTCTAAAAACAGACCTTGAACTTCAGCCCCTGACGAAAAAAGCGCGAAGCTAGAAGAAGCCGTAGAATCCACCGCCCCCTATAAGACTCCTCCTAAAGCCTATAGCTAAACCCTAACCCCTAAACCCTAAACCCTAAACCTCAAACCCTAAACCCTAAACCCTAAACTCTAAACCCTAAACCCTAAACCCTAAACTCTAAACCCTAAACCCCTGACCCTAAACCCTGGGTCCTTCTTCTTGCTTTTCTTCTCTTTTTCCTTGTCCTTCTTACTGCTCTTCGAGTCCCCCCCGCCGCCACCGCCGCCACCACCTCTCGAAGCCGATAAAACGAAACATGTCGCTTTAGGGATTTAGGGCCCTGGGTTGTGGAGTTTAGGGGTTTAGAGCTTGAGGGCTTTAGGGATTTAGGGGCTGAGGGTCCTGGGTTGTGGAGTTTAGGGGTTTAGGGGGTTTGGGGTTTAGGGGTTTAGGAGTTTAGGGTTTATGGTTTAGGGTTCAGGGTTGGGGTTCTACAGCTTGTTCTTGTCAGATACGCGTTTTGTATTCGTTCTGGACCCATAGGCTCCATTGTGGTTTTTTGTGATGTAGATTTAGACTCCTGTAAAGGTGCTCCCAAAAAAAGAACTACAACGGAGCTTATGGGCAATGTAGGAACTGGAACAGGGTTTTGTGGGTTCCTGATTAGAAATAAGGTAAATACACCCCCCAAACCCTATTCTAATTATTAAGGCCCCTAAACCCTAAACCCATTATACTAGCCCTTATAGAACCCTTCAAGGAACCCTGTAAAGGAAACCCTCAAGCCCTATTCCAATTATTCAGGCCCGTATGTTTAGGGGATGTATAGCGGCATTGTGGGAATCTGTCGTATGGTGCTTCGGATTGGAAGCTCAAGGGCCTGAGATTGGGCTCTGGCTCTGTATTACTATCTATCATAGGGTTTCGGGTTTAGGGTTTAGGGCTTTAGGGTTTAGGGTTTCGGGTTGAGGGCTTTGGGGTTTTAGGGTTTAGGGTTTCGGGTTTAGGGCTTTAGGGTTTTGGGGTTTCGGGTTTAGGTTAGGGCTTTAGGGTGTGAGGGTTTAGGGATTTAGGGTTTAGGGCTTTAGGGATTTAGGGTTTAGGGATTTAGGGTTTATGGTTTACGGTTTAGGGTTATAATTGGTAGACCCAGCCATCTGTCTGGTCCATGGATAGTGACTAGGAGTCCTTGAAGGGCTTCTGCAAGCCCTTTTTGAGGGCTTCTCGCGTTTATGACGAGGATATCGCGGGTTTGGGTTCAGAGACTGCTACCAACCTGGCTACGGTTGATACTATGATTGCCGGCATATGCTGGCATAGCTAGATGCAGGTGTACGTGCTAGTCTTGCTCTTCCTTGGTTGGATGCCGGTCACGAAGTCATGCAACAAAACTGCTTATATTTAACCCCTACACCTTCATGAATACTAAACCTTGCTGCGGCGCCTTTGTCCCTTCCTGCGCTTGGAAACCCACAACCCGAACCCCCAAACCCTAAACCCTAAAGGGGCGCTTGGGCACTGACAGGGGAAGCTTGGTTTCACACGGCGAGATCTTCGAGTTGTCCTGCAGTTCTACAATTTTGTACAGGATTTTGCGTGTGAAGAGTTGAGGGTTTAGGGTTTAGGGGTTTAGGGTTTGGGGTTTAGGGCTTTTGAGGCAAACCCTCAACACCCGTTTCCATGTCGCAATTTCGGCTACTACCCCGCTTCCCAGTAATGTCAGGTTCAGTCTCTAACATAGCGGCCTTATGTGAAGGTATACATATTCAGAACCCCTCCAAAAAACGTCGGATGTTTGAATTAGAGTATAGCACACTTCTATTAAGAAAGCCCATTTACAGGACATCACCTGACCTATTCAGGCCCAAACCCTAGACTAGACCGTCAACCTCCGGATCAGCCAAACCCTAAACCCTAAACCCTACAAACCCTAAAAGCCCTACAAACCCTAAAAACCCTAAGAAGCCTAAAATCCTACAAACCCTAAGAATCCTAATGATCTAGGGCTTCTTATACTATGCCGCGCCTCCCTGCCCTGCTCTTCGGACCTCCCAAAGGCCATAGGGTTTAGGGTTTAGGATTCAGGGTTTAGGATATAGGGTTTCGGGTTTAGGATTTAGGGATTAGGGTTAGGGTTCAAGGTTTAGGATTTAGGGTTTAGGGTTTAGGGTTCAGGGTTAGGAGTTAGGGTTCAGGATTGAGGGTTCAGGGTTCAGGATTCTGGGTTTGGGGTTAGGGCCAACTTGGGGTTTCAGATCTGGATGAGTTTTGGAGAGGAGGAATCGTGATTAACGGCAGGACTTTGGGAAAATTTCGGGGTTTATCGTAGCTACCAGGACAATTATACTATACTTATAATAAGGAACCCCCAACATATTATGGGTAATTATTCAGGCCCCTATATATAGAATTTAGAGGGTCCTTCCTGACAAAAGAACTAGGTTTTGGTAGTCTAAGTGCACGGGTTGAGCAAAAAGGCGCTGGAGTCTTGTTGCGCAGCAATGGACTTCGGGGGTTTAGGGTTTAGGGTTTTTGGTTTAGGGTTTAGGGGTAAGCTTTCTGAGCTACGGCCTACACCCACAGGCTACATTGTAGTTAATTTGCGGCTTATATTTAGAATCCTATAAGGTACTCCCAAACAGGAACGACAATGGAGTCTATGGGTAGCCTATACCCCTAAACCCTAAAGACGATGGGAGTGGCGCAATACATCGTAGGCCCTCGCTGGCTGAACCCCGGCCCTGAAAATGAGAGTCATTCCGCGCGATTTGAAGCCGCCAAACCCTGCAATACACTCGAAACTCCAGGGTTGTACGGGATTCATGCATTAGATCAGCCTAAAGTGTGGCAGCGGCTGCAGGACAAGATACAATTGAAAGCCTCCTTTCCTGTTCTCTGAATCGCCTGGCTCCAATATTCATCTCACAGACTTATGTAGGCCATGTCACAACAAAGCATCTGTAATTTCACCGACAAAGATAACCTGGGCTTTGAAGTAACCAGGGAGAAACAAGTATAGACTTTTACTTCATAATGGCTCCTTTAAGGAACAGGTCCAACAAAAAGTATTAAAGTATGGTACTCCAAAGCCTAGTAAGTCCCTAGCACAGAGCAAAGCAGCCTCGTTTGCCACAGTTGCGGTTTGCCTGTTCATTCCAAGGCTTGAGTTACGTCGCACACTTCTCACTTCTCTCCTCTAGACACGAGTTGCCTTCTCATCCGGCGTGCTTAACACGTGGTTGATGGCGCGCTCGAGATTCTTGTCAGCGCCCTCCCAGATCTCTGTGAGAAACCTTGGTATAAGCAGCAACCGTGCTAATTTTCGGGCCTGGATAATCAGAACGGGAGCATGGGGTTACATTGCGGTATACGAGGAGGGGGAGGACAGGGAGGAGGAGGACGAGGAGGCGTATTTATGATGACGAGGACGCGTAACCGTAGCAGAAGACGTAACAGCGGTTCAGCGCAGTCGGACGAGCCCTGCGAACTCTGGAGCCTCCAGAAGATTGTGCTAGCATAGTGACAGCGTTCGCATCGGCACGAGACTAAACACTACCCATAGGCTCCATTGTAGTTCCTTTTTGGGGAGTACCTTGAAAGGGTTTAAAAAACATATAAACCACAAGAAGGAACTACAATGGAGCCTATGGGCAAGCATTCAACCCAAGGTCCTGAACGCGCTGACTTTCACACCTTGGTATCGATGCCGAGTCATTAGCAATAATAGCAATCAAAGCAATCATAGCAATACTGGCAATTATAGCACTAATAGCGAAATTAATAGCAATCACAGCTATCATAGCAGTACTAGCAATCATAGACTAATCACTAATCATAGCAATACTTGCAATATAATACCCTAAACCCTAAACCCTAA